TCAAAACACAAGCCATGAAAAATGGATTTGCAACAATGTTAACCCAACAATTCTTAAACTAGAATATGCCATACTTGGGAGCAGGTGACCTTAGTAAAGCACAATAGGGGAGTGGGTCGAGCATAGAGGAGGTTCCAGCTTATAAGAAGAGGATGGAAAGTTTTTTCAACCAAGAGTGATTAACCAACATTCTATCAAGTTTGATATGAATAAGATTATTTAACAGTTGATTAAACGAGGTTTAAAATAAACCCATATATGTGATGTCTAAAGTGCTAGAGTTGAAAATCCAGTTATTCATTTCCCCAAATGGACTGAATTGAATCAGCCTACCACTCGATTTCTCCATGACCTCTTTGTAATAATGAAATTCTCCCATGATAATCTATGGAGTATAAATAGAATCTGCCAAGATAGATAACTGCTGCTAAAGGGGAGCTCTCTCAATAAGTGAATTAGCAGCATAAAAAATTGAAATCATGATATGAGGTAATGCACTTGAGAGAAGTGTTCCATGAATCAGTTGGGGGGAAAAGATGTTGGGGGGTGAAAGAAATAGATAAAGGTTCCACTTCAGCCAAATCCTGCTAAGGGAGGAGGAGCTAAAATTATTGTAACTCATTTCGCTTGGAAAACCCTGATGAGTGTTAATAAACCAAGGATCCAAAATTGATTAAGGGGGAATTTTGGCTTGAGTAATGTAGAGCATGTAAAGACGGTGAGAGGAGATCAATTTTTTGTAAACTAAAACCTTTTCGGGACTATTGAAACCCCAAACATTCTAGCATACAATAGGAGGGAGGGTAATTTTGACTTGGAAGGGGAGGAGTGTGCTTTCTTAGCACTTTTGGCTCCAGAGGATTTTGTAGATTGTGGTCTCAGAGTTTGAGCCTAATCAGGGAGATCTTTGAGATGAGATTGATCAGGATTGAAGGAACTTTCAATAGGATCCTGAGGATATGGAGGATCCTCCTATAGCAAGACTGCAAATTTCTTTGGAGAAGTCATAAGGTTGGCATTGTGACTACTCAATTTAGAGGAAGAGGTGTGAGCAATCTGGTTTGTGGTGCGCTGGGCATTTATTTCAGCGGATGGCTGATCCGAACAGGTGGAAAGTTCATATGAAGAGGCGTCATCTGTAGGGGAATTTATCTTGGGAATAATATCTTTATGATGATTAATAACCATAGGAGTCGGGGTGGGAAGAAGAGAAGAGGTTATCTACCGGAAAAGAGAAGTGCACAAGTTGGAAGGGTCAAAGCTAGCAAGGGGAACTACAGGGGATGGTTGGGAGGTAATTGGTGGAATGTTGGAAGGTTGAGGAATAGGGAGGATAGCAGGAGCTCTAGGGGGAGGACGAGCATAGCGAACTTGGCTCAAACTTCTTCCACGAGTTTAAAATCAGAGGTTGGATCTTTGGTTAGGGGGTTTTTATGACAAAGGTTTAAGGGATGGACAAGAGATCCACATCCATAAAAAGTGGGTGGATTTCTGGTCGTAGAGGACTTTGAGAGTGACATCATCCCCATCCAATGAAATAGGAATTTCATCTGGCAAGGAAGAAGCACTTGAAACCATCACGCAAACCCTAGCAAACGTGAAACAGGTTTTTCTTACAGTGAGAGCATCAACCACAAGGTGGTGTCCAATGAAATTGGCGATTTTATATATACCTAGGGGATTCTAGACGGCAAAAGGAAGATCCATGATTTTAATCCAAATAGGAATGGAGTTAAATTCATCCCGCTTAGGTTTGAATTTAAATGTTTATTCTGCATAATGAATGGTCTTCTGAAGAAGAACCACGGGCCTTCTGACCACATGACATCAAAATCACTCTGCAAAGAAAACTTAAAAAAAAAATCCATCGTTAAGGAAAAAGAATATCTACCGAACCTTTAGGTTATTAAGTTTTCTTGGTGACATTTAAAAGGCTCAAGTACATGGGTCTAGGCCAACCGAGTAACCGATAAGGGATAAGCTCCAATTAGGAACTCTAAGCGTGAGATCATTTGCTGAGAAGGGAATCTTATGAGGGGTAAGTATAAAAGAAAGGAAGAACTCATTTGCGACTAGGTCTTGGTTAGTGTGGTTAGAAATAAAGTTTAGGCCAATGAGATCTGAGATGAAGGGGGCCGTAGCTCCAGGGAGAGGAGGAATGTCTGAAAGATAGGAGGATGAAGCCATAAAGAGGAAGGCAGAGGGGAGTGTGGCAAGTAAGGCGAGAAGACAACGCTAGATCAAAAAATCCCAGCAGAGCCTTATGCTAAATTCAATTATTTCCACACATAATAATAATAATAATAATAATAATATTCTTTCCACGCTTTATTCCTTCGGTTAAATAAGATGTTCCAAATGAGTGTATTTTGTAGTTTTTATGATTCAATTTTTTTTCGTTACACTTATCTTCATTATGTTTAAGATAATGTGTTGGATAAATATATGTTGGATGTATATAAATTTACCCCACTTCATTATTTTCGATTGACATATGCGATCATTCTCATAGCAATGGATAATTTTGTTTTCTTTTATAAATGAAATATTTCAATTATAATTCCAATGGCTTCATTATGGCTGAGTTTTCTCTCTTATTAAGGCTTCGTTTGGGACGGTTTTTTTATTGCTTTCTAAAATAGAGTTTTAGTACAAAAATAAAAAAATTTGTACTAAAACTTCGTTTTATAAAGCAATAATAAAGCCGTCCGAAGCCTAAATTGATGGTGGTTGGAGCTTTTTGTTCCCATCCTAACTGTGAAATTTAATTGCAACTATTTTTTAAGTTTTAAAAACTATATATTACTAATATATATATGCAGTATAATAAATGTTGCTTATAAATCTGCTATAAATGTCGGAAAAAAATAAAAATTCCACGTCAAACCTTATCCGGTAATAAAGGCAAATTAAAAAATTTCGCTTCAAGACTTATCCGGCAATGAAGAGAAAATAAAATATAATTCTCTACGGCAAGCTGGCTGAGAAATTTTTAAATTATAATTTTGCAGAAAGCTAGATAAGAGAGCGAGAGTTGTGATTGAGGAAATTGAATTCTGTACAATACGGCAAGTGGGCTGAGATGGGAGCGCCGGGTTCAGGAGCAGACACGTCCGCCAAATCGAATGTGACGGCCCTAAACTGTATCAGTCTCTCGGATCCTGACATCCAGAAATCCATTTCACTTCTCAGGCAGGTCGGTTTTCCCTCGAATCCCTCTGTAGTTGTCCCGTTTCTGAAATTTTGTCTTTTTAGTTTAGGGTTTTTTTAGTACTATGTAGGGCTTTTGATTTTTATTTTTTTCTTAAGTTGTTTCCGTTATGGTGTTGCTTGCTTTAATGCCTGTATGATGGTAAGCAAATATTTTTGAAGTATCCTTGATTGTATTGTTTTGCTCTCGAAGTGACGGGATTTCAATGTTCATAGTCATACATCCTATCAGGGAAAAAGTTGGTCTTGTGATTTTGAGGTAAGTGGAATATAAATTCTGATTTATTCTCTATTTATTATACTCATCCCAAAACTAATGAGATCCATCATAACTAAATTTTGGTTAAAGATATTAAGGCCCAAAAATTTTTATAACTCCTTACAAAGAAGTTATTATAAGTACTTGTTTTATAATTCTTTGTGAAAGCAAAATAAGGGTTGGAGAAAGAAATATGTTGACTTTTTTTTTTTATTTCTAATGTCAGAAATGATATTATTACAATATTTGTCTCTTTTATATATGATTTTGTTGTATTCTGGTGATTATTAACAATACCACTATATTTTCTTTTTCTGTTTCAGGCGTGCCTAGATTCTGGATTTTTCTATGTAATTGATCATGGCATTAGCCAGGAATTCATGGATGAGGTTTTCTTCCGGAGTAGAAAATTTTTTGAGCTACCTTTACATAAAAAAATGGAGCTATTTCGTAATGAAAAGCTTCGAGGTTATACTCCCACAGCAGATCAGACTCTGGATCCCAAAAATCAAGTGCAGGGTTCGTTTCCAAATCTTATGGCTTCTGCATAGTCACCTTTACATCTCCCTTTATTTTTTCTTAATGTTGAAGGCATTTTCCTGAAATCATACTTATTAAATGATAAATTTACTATCTTAATGAAAATTTGTTGCTCAGTCGTGTCTGGTGGAATGGTCATTTACAACTAGAGGAAGGCTATCAACACTTAACGCAAGTCAACGCATTATTAACACTATCTCTATGATTTATATCAAGATGTGATGATGGCACACTATCTACTAGTGCATCGAGCTTCACTTATTATGGCATAACAATTAGGAAAATTCATTAATGTTGCGTGAGTGTGAAGCATTGCTCCGTGTTTTCTTTCTGTCTTGAATACCAGACCTTCGAAATATAATTATAATTATATGCTTGCTAGGAATGCTATCCAATGCTTCTTTGGAGTTTGAGGTTGTTGCTTTTTTGTAAGAGAACTCTATATTATCTTCTTCTAGTAAGTACAATAAAAAGTTATAGATATGCATGCTTCTTTATAAATGTGGTATATTTTCCTCAAACTACTAGAGAAAGATTCTATCTTCTAATTGAAGTTAGACCTATCAATGAAGATTGACAACTGCCTGTTCAACCCTAAAAAAACAAAGAAAAATATAGGATCATTGTCATGACTCACATGTCTTCACGTTATAATAGACAACTCAAACATAAACCAAATAATGACGAAAAAATGTTTTTTGCTCAGTTGTTGACCTCCGCTCCGAGACCGAAATTCCTGCCAAAATTCTGCTCAAATCCTGCGATAATCACTATGCATTCAATGCCGTTCACGTCGCCTCCCTCAAATCCCATTGTCTGTTGCCACTCTCTTTGTTAAAATGAGAAAGCAATGAAGCTTTTCATTTTTTTGGTTCCCGCACATAGGCCACTCGAATCACCTCTGCCTCTTATGATCCTTGCTCTTGATGCAAGAGTCCTCCGAGCCGCAAGTCTCCTTCCTCCCCAAGCTTCCATCCGTCAAATAGCCGACCTCACCTCCAGCTTTAAATCCGACCGTTCTTCATCACTTGATCAAGCCGCAAACCATTCGAAACCCTCTCATGTCTTCTTTCAATCGCTTACACACAGACACCCTCCTCTATTCGGCGTGCTCGACGAAACCCATACCTGACCGAACCGGCACCCCATGTAAGCTCTAATTCGACTACGTAACACCATCTGATTCCCTGCACATGATTCTTCCTCAAGCTGAAGTCGAACACATCCACCTCATGCTTTGACTATTCACAAAGAACTGCCTTAATCCCGATCCCTTACAGCTCTATCGTCTATGAATACCCAGCCTCTTCACTGTGTCGAGCAGCTCTCGACGCCTATTGCCCAACCAGCCAGACGTCCAGCTCCTAGTCCCTTCCAACTTGCCGAGCCCCGAGCTGTACAAGCCTTCTTCTTCCTCACCTACGCTTGTTTCCCGCTCTAGATCGACACAGGATTGAGCCCACCCCCTATAGCCGCAAATCCAACTTTCCCTGATCCAACCAAACAAGTCCTTTACTATGCCGCCGACTTCCTCTTCTCTATCCAAAATCCAAACAAGCATCTTCTCAGCCGGCATCCCTTCCTCACAGCTATTCGATCTTTTCTCTCTTTCCCTTTGTTTGCACCATCCAACTTCAACAGTCAGCCACAAACTGACCCGCCTCTACCAAATTCCACACGCGTCAGCATCAGAAACTAATCTTTCATATTAATTTTTATTGTTAATTAATAGTTATATTATTATTATTATTATTAATACTATCTTAAAAAAGTACAGCAACGAGGAGAAAATAAAAAAAAGAGAGAAAAAGAAGGAAAGGTAAAAAAAATGAAGAGGAAGAAGTAAAAAAAAAGAGGAGATTTTTTTTTTATTTTTCCCCGAAATAGTCATCACCACCGTCGACCCCCCTTTGTTGAGGTATAATGATTTCTGAACACAAAAAACTCCAAAACCCCATTTTTGGCTTTTGCGGCATGCCGGGGAACACTTATACACGCTCTCGTAGCGTGGTGGGAGGGAACCAGGTGCGACGCTTGCAGTGTGGTGGGTAGGCCCTTTACATACTCTCATAGCATGACGGGGATAACTTTAAGCACCCGTGTATGTGCTTCAGTGCATGCGGGAAAAAAAAATTATTTTGAAACAGGTACTCCGAAGACCCATACACATTGTTCTTAGTGTGATGGTGGTTGAAGAATCATAGGTGCGGTGTCGTCCGACAACTACCATACACGCTCTTCGTAGCGTGGTGGGAAGGCCCTAACTCTCAAATTTCCCTTAAAACGGGAGATTTCTCGGGAGTTGAAATTTTCGATGAATAGATAACCTAATTTGAACAAACCATAGGGAGCTTGTAAGAACAACTAGGGACTTAAACAAAACTGCAGGGAACAAAGCTGTAGGGAACCAGACATAATATTTAAAATAAAATTACAAATTACAAAATAACAAAAATTGAACATCAATGAACAAACAAAGAACCTGTGGTGAACAAAACGCTCGGTGGACATTAATGACGAATAAATGATTTGATTACCTGACAAAATTCAACTAAATTGCAAATCCACATTCGTAGTTAGCATGAGTAGATGTGCATGATGCAGCAAACAATGAGTATAAACATCCATTAATGGCTCACCCTCAGATGGCAATCAAAGACTGGTCATGCACACAACAGTTCACACAAAGGTACTAACAAGCAATAGGCAATAAAAGTAGTAATGCCTCGCAATCGACATCCTAAGTGAATATATTCAGCCTTGCGAGCAATGAGATCGAAGGGGACATAATTTGATTGCAAACATATATACAAAGTCCCTAAATAATATTGCAAGTTGCTTGCAGATGATGACAATTGATGTCTAATGTTCACATAAGTCATGAAAGAAAATACAATAGTCCCTACAATCAACAACAATAGATATATTGCAATGATGATCAGTTCCCTATATACATAGATATGCATACAACATTCCATTTGCAAACAAGATGACCTGTTTGCAATACATACGAGCCCCTTCGAGCCACTGTAAAAGACTCTTTATTCATACAATAGTCCATCTACAGGTGATAGCTAGCAACGTGCAACCAACATAGTAGAGTCCCTTACAAATGTGCACAGTGCAGCATGCAATGAGTGCGAATACCTGCTGGCAATAAAAGAAGATTTGCTGCATGCGCAACAGAGACGATCAATATCAGGCAACAATCATATGCATTATATACACAGATCATGAAAATACTGATAATTAGTAATAACAGTGGCTAAGTGGTGGATGTGGTAGTCTCCCTTCATTCAATTTCAATCAGCTTGTAAATGAATATGTTAGTTCACTTATAAGCAACGATAATGGATAAACTTTACATATGACAACCTCCTATGAACATAAAGCTATCATGTAAGAAAATGTAGCAACTTGTTAGTCAATGTATATAGGAAAATCAACAGTGAGTTTAGTTCATCGGCGGTCATCATCAACCTACAACCAAATACATCAATTCCCCCTTTAAGCAGAGGCGGATGACACGCAGCAAATGCAAGCACTTATGAGCTGTCGCAAGAGACCTGGTATTTGCAAGCACAATGCAAAAGAACTACGATGAATGCATCACACTTGCATGTAGCAGTAGTAGATATACTGTATGGATGAGGAGTCCTTTATGAATATGTAAAATGCCATTTACTAGCAAGTACTGAAGGCCACGAAAAAAATGTAAAAGTATTATAGCAAATGCAAGTTCCTACGGGTAATAACAGGAGACTCATCAGTACACGACAATCTACCCGTATAAAATAGCAAATGACTCGCAATTTGATGCCAAACCACCGGATCCGCAACATTCGTACAAACAAATAGAAAGCATTTTTAGATTCCAAATTGAGACTTTACATGTTTGACAGCAATGGCCATTTGCACAGCTGATAATTACAAAAATGCCCATACACACTAAAATGCATAAAGACTCATTTACAATATGCATATATACATGTTGCAATTTATAAAGTTCATCATGCAAAATCCATGAAGATGCATACACCCGTATGGCTCCGATGAGCGTGTAGTAGATACATACATGACGCCTGAGGATGTTGCACCATACTTGTTAACAACGAATGGCGCACCATGGCGCAAAGGACCCTTTGGAGCCATGGCGCATAGCGCATGGTGCGGTTCGCACCATTTTGAACATGACACAAACTATATAAGAATTATAAAATAATAAGCATGAATATGAAATATTATTAAAAATGAAAGACAAGCTATCCAAGAGACAAGAATTCACATTTAAAGTCCTCACCCCTTCCTCCTCTCCTATAGAGTCCAATGTCTCTCAATCAAAGCATGCACTAATGACGAAAACTTATACAAAGCATGCACTCATGAAGAAGCAGACTAACACTAACAACTATTACTAAAGATGATGAATACAACAATATGCCGGGCTGCCGGGGGTCCAAGGGGGCGCTGCCCCATGACTGGGTTCGAACAAAATTTATTTGTAAGAGTAATTTTGAAGTTCTGCTTATTTTTAAAGTTTGTAAGCCGTTTGTATGGAAAGATATCTAGCGGTATCGAGCATGTACCTAGCGGTATCGAGCATGTACCTAGCGCTACTGAGCGTTTTTTTAAAATTTTAAGAGGTGGACGCCTCTAAATCATGGTTTCTAGTGAAATACTTCAAGTACAATCAATAAGAATCATACCTGTTAAGTTGTAAATTCTTGTAAAAAATATTCATAAGTATAATAAAATTTAAAAATAATTTGGCGCGCTATTTTGCATCGTGCGCCATGTGCCATGGCTCACATGTGGCACAAATAGCGCGCGCTATTTTAAACACATGCGCCTTTCCATGAACATGATGCCGTAGGTGCGCCGCGCCGTGTCGTGCGCCATGGTGCGCGCTATTTTGTGCCATTGACAACTGTGTGTTGCATAGGTCAAGGAATGGACTTAAGTTCGAGCCAGATCCTTCTATGTGAATAGATAGTAGTCGTCATGGCTCGAACCATAAAACAAATAT